CCGCCGATGCATCCGGAAAATTTCCTGGACGAGTTTTTCTCCATGACGCCAGTAGCGGCTCAGCAAGCGATGGAGGACGAGACGCTCCGAGAACTGGAACTTTTACTTTCATAGCAACAGCACCGCCCCGGGTGGATTTTTTTTTTCGCCTCTCCCGGTGCGTGCATCTCACGTTGGACCGTGGTGCAAAACCGAGGTTCCGTTTTCCTCATTCGATCACGGAAATGCTGTCAGTCCACTACAGCACTGAAATTACTTTCGAAATGGATGTCTTGGAATCATCGCTGTTGGTCTACAGTACATCATTTGTGTAGGATTTTAGTTTTTTTTTTGGGGGGGGCGAACAAGAGCATTAAACTTAACTGCGAGAGCATTTATTTGTTAACTCTGGTTCGTTTTGGCGCGAAGATCAAATAAGTTCGAGTTAATTTATTTAGCAAAAGTAAAGCACTTGTTGGCCTGAGCGCTTGTGTCATGCATGTGGCGTTACGGATGTTTGAGATCGATGCAATTGGAAATACTGTACTGAATTTCTGTCAATAAAACGGCTTCATCGGGGGGGGCGAACAAGAGCATTAAACTTAACTGCGAGAGCATTTATTTGTTAACTCTGGTTCGTTTTGGCGCGAAGATCAAATAAGTTCGAGTTAATTTATTTAGCAAAAGTAAAGCACTTGTTGGCCTGAGCGCTTGTGTCATGCATGTGGCGTTACGGATGTTTGAGATCGATGCAATTGGAAATACTGTACTGAATTTCTGTCAATAAAACGGCTTCATCCTGAAACGGGGGCGTGATGACGTTTCTGAATCGAGAGCACAAATGTTTACATTGCACTGGTTTTGAGGACTGGTTTTCATATCAGGCGATTTTAATTCAATACGACAGAGTAGTTGAACAACTCACCTCAATTCGAGTAGTGCGCCGTTGTCAAGACTTGTTACTTTGGAGGCAGCTGTTCCACCTGCGGTCGATAGGTGTCGTCGTTACTTCCAAAAAGGAGACGACCGTCGTGTGTCAGAATATCAGGACCCTACACCCTTCAAAAAAAAGGGAAAAAAAGAAATCCAGGAGTGAGCTGCTTTTACGCCACCCAAAATTCGCCAATTTGAAATTTACTGCCAGCTTACTCTTTGTGTTGATTGTTCAAGGATTGATGCCAATTCACATTTTTTTCTTGTTAAAGGATTTCCCGTCTGCGCCGCGTGTTGTACCTTTACTATGCTGTTCTTGTGATTAAATATTGTTTGAGGAAAGATGGACGATCGACTGTTTTCATTTCATTGAGTCCGTGGTCTCAACTGCAATGCACTACCACGTCAATAGATGGCGGTATACTCGTACTTTTGCCGGTGCGCGTTTGTTTGGATTGAAGCCTCCAATTGCCGTTTGCGTGGATTCATTTACACACTGTGTGTCTATAATTGGATTCGCATAAATGTACATATTTTCTCGATTAATATTATTTTAAAAAACTTTTTCCCTTCGAAAATAAACAAGACTATTGAATCAATCAAAATGAATGTATCACGTAAGGCAAAATATGCCTCTTTATGCAGTTTTCGTCTGGGGGGGGCAATGTTTTTCTTCTGGTGTTCTTTGTTCTTTAAAAACTTTTTTGAAAAATATTTTTTATCGGACAAATGTAAAACAAACATTCCTATGCTCGTCGTAGTAGGCCTTTTTCCTTGTAAAAAAAATATTATTCTCATGTAAACAAAATCTTAAAAAAAAAAAACATTTTCCCCCCATCCTAAATTCTGAAATCTTATATTTTAATGAATTCTCCCTCAGAACAACATACTTTATCCCACAAATGACGATTTAATTTAAAAAAAATCTTATATTTTAATGAATTCTCCCTCAGAACAACAATCTTTATCCCACAAGTGGCAATTTAATTTAAAAAATCTCTTGTTGGCCTGAGCGCTTGTGTCATGCATGTGGCGTTACGGATGTTTGAGATCGATGCAATTGGAAATACTGTACTGAATTTCTGTCAATAAAACGGCTTCATCCTGAAACGGGGGCGTGATGACGTTTCTGAATCGAGAGCACAAATGTTTACATTGCACTGGTTTTGAGGACTGGTTTTCATATCAGGCGATTTTAATTCAATACGACAGAGTAGTTGAACAACTCACCTCAATTCGAGTAGTGCGCCGTTGTCAAGACTTGTTACTTTGGAGGCAGCTGTTCCACCTGCGGTCGATAGGTGTCGTCGTTACTTCCAAAAAGGAGACGGCCGTCGTGTGTCAGAATACTGTATCAGGACCCTACACCCTTCAAAAAAAAAAAAGTACAAGTTGAATCCTTTTTCTTGGGATAAAACACGAATTTATTCTGATATTACAACAAATTTATTCCGGTAATGTTATGACTTATTTTCCTCAAATATTATTCTCACAATACACTCTCCCCCCCAACAAAGATGTACCTTCGAATAAAAATTAAAAGCCCCAAAATGCCTCACAGCTAGTTCGGGGAAAAAAGAAATCCAGGAGTGAGCTGCTTTTACGCCACCCAAAATTCGCCAATTTGAAATTTACTGCCAGCTTACTCTTTGTGTTGATTGTTCAAGGATTGATGCCAATTCACATTTTTTTCTTGTTAAAGGATTTCCCGTCTGCGCCGCGTGTTGTACCTTTACTATGGTGTTCTTGTGATTAAATACTGTTTGAGGAAAGATGGACGATCGACTGTTTTCATTTCATTGAGTCCGTGGTCTCAACTGCAATGCACTACCACGTCAATAGATGGCGGTATACTCGTACTTTTGCCGGTGCGCGTTTGTTTGGATTGAAGCCTCCAATTGCCGTTTGCGTGGATTCATTTACACACTCTGTGTCTATAATTGGATTCGCATAAATGTACATATTTTCTCGATTGCTATTATTTTAAAAAACTTTTTCCCTTCGAAAATAAACAAGACTATTGAATCAATCAAAATGAATGTATCACGTAAGGCAAAATATGCCTCTTTATGCAGTTTTCGTCTGGGGGGCGGGGAATGTTTTTCTTCTGGTGTTCTTTGTTCTTTAAAAACTTTTTTGAAAAATATTTTTTATCGGACAAATGTAAAACAAACATTCCTATGCTCGTCGTAGTAGGCCTTTTTCCTTGTAAAAAAAATATTATTCTCATGTAAACAAAATCTTAAAAAAAAAAAACATTTTCCCCCCATCCTAAATTCTGAAATCTTATATTTTAATGAATTCTCCCTCAGAACAACATACTTTATCCCACAAATGACGATTTAATTTAAAAAATTCTAGCATCTATCGCGTCAGTATTTCGACCGATGTGTTCTTTGTTCACGGGCTTCATTTCTGTGTTTATTTCAGATCGGGGGTGGGCATGTGTTTTTCTTCCTGGCGTTTCTGGCATTCAAAAGCCACGCCCTCGCCGACGCTAATTGGCTTGGCGCCTTAACTCCCGCCTAGTTCGCCGCCGGTTGGCTAATCGGGTGACGCTCGCCCGCCCCGGAACGCCTCTCCCTCCTTCAACCGAACCGGGAAAGTCTCGAGTTCTTCAAAGCTGGAACCGCAAACCGGCAGCGCGAGCCCTTTCCCACACACGCGCACACGCACAGAAGCCAAGACCTCGTTTGCGCGTTTCACTTTTTCGCGCAGACATTAATCCCGCGGCCGAAAGGCGAGTCACCCTCGGTGAGCGCGGAGGAAGAGGAGGAGGAAGAGGAGGAGGCATCGTCATGCGCTCGTCGGGAATGGAACAGGTGGCATTCACTTGTCAGTAGACTGCGCTCTCGGGACCCCGTCTAATTGCCGGACGACGAGCCCGGGGAGAAGTCATGCCGGTGGCCGAGTGCGCGGCGCTGCCGCCGGAGGGCGACCCCGACGCCGAAGAGGGCGACCTGGCGCCGGAGGCGGCGGAAGCGGCGGCCACGCTGTGCCGCAGCCCCGCCGCCGACGTCCTCAAGAACTTCTACCACACCAAGCGGGTGGGCAACTACCTGATCGGCAGGAAGCTGGGCGAGGGCTCCTTCGCCAAAGTCAGGGAGGGGCTGCACGCCCTCACCGGGGAAAAGGTACCACCAGCTTCTTATTTCGACCCTTGAGATTGCCACTTTTAACTTGGGGGCGTGCAGACGGTGTTTGCAGCTGTTTTTTCACTGCTAAAATAATCCGCTGTGGGTAGCGCAGCCTCACTAAATATGGACGCCTCTGTCATGGAGTCTCAGGAGCAACTGCTCTGGCGGTTGACGTGAACCCAACAATTCCGGGGTAATAGAATGTCAGGGAGGTCGTATCAGAGCGGGTTGTTGTGTCAGCAGCCCCTTTCACACTGCCTGGAAAGCCTGGACTTTTCTTTTTTCCTCCCGTCACTATTCTATGTGAAAGGCACTGACACCAAGTTGGGGTATGAATAATATGAGCAACAGAGAGGTCGCATCAGAGCAGGAATTGGTGTCAATGTCCCTTTCACGCTGCCATTTCAAGCCGTCTTTTACCCACGTCCCTGTTTTCTGTGTGAAAGGCACAGACGTAGAAAGGTGGTGACAAAGAATACCTGTCAAATTTAATCTCCCTGGAGAGAGTTGAGTAGGGGGGGGCGAACAAGAGCATTAAACTTAACTGCGAGAGCATTTATTTGTTAACTCTGGTTCGTTTTGGCGCGAAGATCAAATAAGTTCGAGTTAATTTATTTAGCAAAAGTAAAGCACTTGTTGGCCTGAGCGCTTGTGTCATGCATGTGGCGTTACGGATGTTTGAGATCGATGCAATTGGAAATACTGTACTGAATTTCTGTCAATAAAACGGCTTCATCCTGAAACGGGGGCGTGATGACGTTTCTGAATCGAGAGCACAAATGTTTACATTGCACTGGTTTTGAGGACTGGTTTTCATATCAGGCGATTTTAATTCAATACGACAGAGTAGTTGAACAACTCACCTCAATTCGAGTAGTGCGCCGTTGTCAAGACTTGTTACTTTGGAGGCAGCTGTTCCACCTGCGGTCGATAGGTGTCGTCGTTACTTCCAAAAAGGAGACGGCCGTCGTGTGTCAGAATACTGTATCAGGACCCTACACCCTTCAAAAAAAAAAAAGTACAAGTTGAATCCTTTTTCTTGGGATAAAACACGAATTTATTCTGATATTACAACAAATTTATTCCGGTAATGTTATGACTTATTTTTCTCAAATGTTATTCTCACAATACACTCGCCCCCCCAACAAAAATGTACCTTCGAATAAAAATTAAAAGCCCCAAAATGCCTCACAGCTAGTTCGGGGGAAAAAAAGAAATCCAGGAGTGAGCTGCTTTTACGCCACCCAAAATTCGCCAATTTGAAATTTACTGCCAGCTTACTCTTTGTGTTGATTGTTCAAGGATTGATGCCAATTCACATTTTTTTCTTGTTAAAGGATTTCCCGTCTGCGCCGCGTGTTGTACCTTTACTATGGTGTTCTTGTGATTAAATACTGTTTGAGGAAAGATGGACGATCGACTGTTTTCATTTCATTGAGTCCGTGGTCTCAACTGCAATGCACTACCACGTCAATAGATGGCGGTATACTCGTACTTTTGCCGGTGCGCGTTTGTTTGGATTGAAGCCTCCAATTGCCGTTTGCGTGGATTCATTTACACACTCTGTGTCTATAATTGGATTCGCATAAATGTACATATTTTCTCGATTGCTATTATTTTAAAAAACTTTTTCCCTTCGAAAATAAACAAGACTATTGAATCAATCAAAATGAATGTATCACGTAAGGCAAAATATGCCTCTTTATGCAGTTTTCGTCTGGGGGGCGGGGAATGTTTTTCTTCTGGTGTTCTTTGTTCTTTAAAAACTTTTTTGAAAAATATTTTTTATCGGACAAATGTAAAACAAACATTCCTATGCTCGTCGTAGTAGGCCTTTTTCCTTGTAAAAAAAATATTATTCTCATGTAAACAAAATCTTAAAAAAAAAAAACATTTTCCCCCCATCCTAAATTCTGAAATCTTATATTTTAATGAATTCTCCCTCAGAACAACATACTTTATCCCACAAATGACGATTTAATTTAAAAAAATCTAGCATCTATCGCGTCAGTATTTCGACCGATGTGTTCTTTGTTCACGGGCTTCATTTCTGTGTTTATTTCAGATCGGGGGTGGGCATGTGTTTTTCTTCCTGGCGTTTCTGGCATTCAAAAGCCACGCCCTCGCCGACGCTAATTGGCTTGGCGCCTTAACTCCCGCCTC